CCCCCGGCCCTTCCCCTTATCCCTTTGTGTGTGGAAGGGACGGAGATGGGACAGACTTTTGAGGTGTGGAATTTTGTGGGGGCAGCAGATTCCGCGCACTGCCACTCGGGCGTAGGAACGGCCCCGAGAGAAGGGAGTCTCCCAGGATCGAAGGTCCAGAGGCGTCTTATTGAGAGCGGAAACGGATGAGGTCCCGAGGGGGACATCGCCATTGGGGTCTGTTCAGTCAGCTTGCTGGAAAGGGACATGTGCAGGTCCCTCGGCGGATGGCTCAGTGAGCACCCTCCAGATGTGCCAAACAAGTCGGTGGTTGGCGGTTCGGAGTCCCATTTGCACTCTTATAGGGGCCTGCGTGCTTAGCAGCGCCGTTGCAGTCGACGAAGGCGACGTTCCTTGCGTGGGTTTTGAGACCTTGTACTCGAGTTACGAGGGACTCTCTGCACACGCTTTGCGTGGTTTCCAATTTGCGAGGGACGGACAAGTCGTGCCTTGGTGGTCGAGCGAACATTTATTTTCGGCGCCGTTCGGGTCCATGGTCGTCTCTCTCGGAGGGCTTATTTCACACCAGCTTGGTCGTCGTTGGCGGCGGTCGCGGCTGTCAGGGCAGACTTGCCGTGGTGCCGGGTTGTGGAACGTTGCGTTCACCCTCGCTCATCGTCTTGCGATGATTGGCACGTGATCGCCGACGGCGGTCCGGTTGGCGCTCGTTTGCAGGGTGTGGAGGCGGAGGTGCCCGTCACCGGCTCTCAGCTTCGGCACCATCATCCCGTAGGTTACGGGGAGAGTTGTTACGGCTCTATTGTGGTGTCGTCTTCGTGTCCGCACTCACAACAGCGCGTTCCGTTTGTGTTGACGGGGTGTCACAACTTGCTGAGGACGCTCTGCGCCCTTCGCCATCTGAGCGGCGCCATTGAGCGGTGGCGCAGGTGGCATCGGCCATGCACGCGCTGCTTATCGTATGCGAGGGGGGAGACTTGTTGCATGCGTGATGCACCCTCCGACGGCGTCGCGAGGTTCGGCCCGTCATCCGTCCGACTTTTTGGAATGCGCGCTTGTGCCCGTCGTGTCCCCCATCCTGTGGTCTCGGTATGCTGCACACCGTGACGGATCGCGTTGCGTCGTGGTTCCGCTGCGTTTAGGTTGACTGCTGTTGGTGGTGCCTGCGGCAACCGGCGGATGTGGACCTTTTGCGCCCCCGTGCACAGGTGGAGGCTTTCCGTCCGTCCGGGCGTGTTGGAAGCGTGGTGCATTCGTTTCTCTCTTCACCCGCATTTCTCGATGGAGAGATGAGGGTGTGCACTTTGCTGTCGGTACGTTTTGGGCGGGCGGTGGCATCCGGCTGTGGGCCGAAGCTGTCGGTGATTCCTTCGCGCGTTGTTGTTCGGGTAGTGTGGTTAACTTGCGATCACTGGGTGTGGTGTGGGCGGGTGCGGTTCGCAGCCAATCTCTTGGGCGGRTGCGGCGGGCTGTGTTGGATTGTGCGGTACCTTGCTGTTGGAGATGGCCTACGGAGGGAAGTTCACCTGCAATTCAAACAGTTGGACTTCGCGGCGTCTCAGCAGCTCATTGCACGTTCCACGATTGTTCGACGTTCTTTTGGTAGGCGGTCCGGCGTGACGTGCCTACGTGCGGCTCGGCCATCGCTCCTTACGTCACACCCGCTACCAGGTTGATCCTGCCAGTAATCATATGCTTGTCTCAAAGACTAAGCCATGCACGTCTAAGTGTGAACACTTTGCACTGTGAAACTGCGAATGGCTCATTAAATCAGTTATCATTTATTTGGTGGTCTCCTTACCACTCGGATAACCGTGGTAATTCTAGAGCTAATACGTGCAGCATATCCCGAATTCTGGAAAGGATGTATTTATTGGATAAAACGCCAATCGGGGCTTGCCCATTGTTGCGGCGAATCATGGTGACTTGTCGAATCGCATGGCCTATGAGCCAGCGATGTTCCACTCAAATTTCTGCCCCATCAGCTTTCGATCGTAGGATAGAGGCCTACCATGGTGGTAACGGGTGACGGAGAATTAGGGTTCGAATCCGGAGAGGGAGCCTGAAAGATGGCTACAACATCCAAGGAAGGCAGCACGCGCGTAAATTACCCAATTGTGACATAGGGAGGTAGTGACAATAAATAACAATACTGGGTTCTTTCGAGGCCGGTAATTGGAATGAGAACAGTCGTAAACTCCTTGAACGAGGATCCATTGGAGGGCAAGTCTGGTGCCAGCAGCCGCGGTAATTCCAGCTCCAATAGCGTATATTTAAGTTGYTGCAGTTAAAAAGCTCGTAGTTGGATTTTGGGTGGGAGGGGTTGGTCCGCTCTTGCGGGCGTGTACCGGCCCTTTCGCCTCNAGTTGGATTTTGGGTGGGAGGGGTTGGTCCGCTCTTGCGGGCGTGTACCGGCCCTTTCGCCTTTCTTGCCGGGTATGCGTTCCTTGCCTTTATTGGCTGGGATCCAGAGYCGGCGCTGTTACTTTGAAAAAAATAGAGTGTTCAAAGCAAGCCTGTGTTCTGAACATATTAGCATGGAATAACGCGATAGGACCATGGTCTTATTTCATTGGTCTTCGGGATTGGGGGCATTCGTATTCCATTGTCAGAGGTGAAATTCTTGGATTTATGGATGACGAACTTCTGCGAAAGTATTTGCCAAGGATGTTCTCATTAATCAAGAACGAAAGTTGAGGGATCGAAGACGATCGGATACCGTCCAAGTCTGAACCATAAACGATGCCGACTGGGGATTGGCGGATGTTTAATGGATAACTCTGCCAGCACCTTGTGTGAAATCAAAGTTTACGGCTTCCGGGGGGAGTATGGTCGCAAGGCTGAAACTTAAAGGAATTGACGGAAGGGCACCACCAGGCGTGGAGCTTGCGGCTTAATTTGACTCAACACGGGGAAACTCAYCAGGTCCAGACATAGCAAGGATTGACAGATTGAGAGCTCTTTCTTGATTCTATGGGAGGTGGTGCATGGCCGTTGTTAGTTGGTGGAGTGATTTGTCTGGTTAATTCCGTTRACGAACGAGACCTCAGCCTGCTAAATAGCTACGCGGGGACCTTTCCTCGTGGCCAGCTTCTTAGAGGGACTGTTGGAAGACTAGCCAACGGAAGTTTGAGGCAATAACAAGTCTGTGATGCCCTTAGATGTTCTGGGCCGCACGCGCGCTACACTGATGAATCCAACGAGATGCTTGCTTGGGTCGAAAGGCCCGGGTAACCTTCTTAAGGTTCAACGTGACGGGGATAGATTGTTGTAATTATCGATCTTGAACGAGGAATGCCTAGTAAGCGCGAGTCATCAGCTCTCGCTGATTACGTCCCTGCCCTTTATACACACCGCCCATCACTCCTACTGATTGAATGGTCCGGTGAAGTGTCTGGATTGAAGTGATCTCGGCTGTTTGCCGCTTGGGGTGCTGTAAGAAGTTCATTGAACCTTATCATTTAGAGGAAGGAGAAGTCGTAACAAGGTTTTCGTAGGTGAACCTGCGGAAGGATCATTCACACGTGAATGGCCGATCTTCGGGGTGTGGGACGCTGGCTTACTCGCCCTTCCGCCGCCCTTTGCCCCTAACCTCCCTGCATCCGCTTTTCTCTGACGTTTCAGCACCATCTTGGGCTTAGTGCCCAGCTGGCGGCTGGCCCGGCGAAGAGTGGCGCCTGGTGTAGGTCGACGGTGGGGGGAGTGGGCAGGGTCCGGGGCCTTGTGGCGTTGCTCCCCCTTCATCCCGTCTCTCCTCCGCAGGTTGTTACCTCGGCCCAACCCCACTCTCCACTTCAAGTCGGGATGGCGGTTGGTCCGGGCACAGACAGCCTTGCGGGAGGGTCACGGGCATGATGTCGGGTGGTGGCGGCTGTCCTCGGTGCGTACCCCCGCTCCTTCCCCTCTCAGCTTTGTCCACACCTCCTCTCCATCTCGGCCTCGACCTCGGCTTCGTGCGGAGCTTGTGGCTTGTTTGGGGATCAAAGGTCGTGGTACAGGCTAGGGGCGGGGTGTGTTGCAGGGTCCTCGCCCCCTCCCCGTTTCGTCCTACCTTCCTTCCCAACGGGGTTCTCCTTTCCGGACAGATCGTCGTCCTTGACACAGTCGAGGTGGTCTAAATCTCGGGGTGGAGGGCCGTTGGGGGAGGGTTTTGGTTGTGAACGGGGTGGTGTCGAGTTGGGAGGCGGGGAGGAGACAGCGCTTGCACGCTCGTTGCCCCGCTGCTCCCCGGTGCCCTGCCTGGCCCCCCGAACGGGGGGTCGGGCGGGCCAGTGGCAGCGGCTGTTGGCGATGGCTTTGCAACTTCTTATTGATGTAGCTGCTCTGATTTCTCACTGTCTGGGTTGACGGGCCCCTTCGGTTTATTGTAAAACTCTCGGCAAACGAATATCTTCCCCCTCGCAACGATGAAGAGCGCAGCGAAATGCGATACTAAATGTGAATTGCAGAAATCCGTGAGCCATCGATACCTTGAACGCACGTGGSGCCCAAGGCTTCTGCCGAGGGCAAACCCGCCTCAGCATTATTGGATTCCTCACGACCTTACCACCTTCCGTTTCGGAGAGTTGTGGGGTCCGTGGTTGTGGCTTCCCTCGCTTCCCACTTGGAGAGCGCCGATAGCCTAAAGTGGAAGGGAATTGGAGAGCAATCTGAGCGGTCCTGTGGGGCCGCAGCCAGAGTGGTGCGTTTTGCTCTGCCCTGTTGTTGCCCTCCAGCACCCGTTTGTGGGTGGTGGTCTTTGTTTCCCTGAAAACGACACGTAAGGTTGTCCCTCCGGTTTGTGTGGTTGCCGCCTTCCATTCTCTCCCATCAGCTTGAGGTGGGCTTGCGGTTGGGGGTGTCGGCCTCGAGCTTAGAGGTACGTCGGGCCTTGCCTTTTGATCTCAGGTCGGGCGGGAGCACCCGCCCAGTTTGAGCATATAAATAAGCGGAGGAAGAGAAACCAACGAGGATTCCCTTGGAAGCGGCGAGCGAACCGGGAATAGCCCAGACTGAAAATCCGGGGGCTGTGTTGTTCCCTGAATTGTAGTCTTGATAGGCAACCTCTGCAGCGGGCCGTGTGCAGGTTCCCTAGAAGGGGACGCCGAAGAGGGTGACAGCCCCGTCGACCGCCGGACCCTGCTGCGCAACGAGGTGTTGTCCAAGAGTCGGGTTGCTTGGGAATGCAGCCCCAATTGGGTGGTAAATCCCATCCAAGGCTAAGTATGTGCGAGGGACCGATAGTGAAGAAGTACCGCGTGGAAAGGATGAAAAGAACTTTGAAAAGAGAGTTAAAGAGTGCTTGAAATCGCCGAGCAAGAAGCGGGTGGACGGCGACTGTGTTATCGCCCCCCTTTTTGGACGTGGGGTGCCTGCCAGCATGGGCTGCTGTGACCGGCATTGCGKTGGGGAGCGATTGAAACCCCCCACGGGTGGCCGTCACGGAAGTCGAGTACCTTGAGCACGCGCCTCTTTCGGCGGGCCCGTTCGGGTTCCTGCGTGTTCGGGATGCTGGCGAAATTCCTCTATCCTGCTCGTCTTGAAACACAGATCGAGGAGTTCAACGTGCATGCGAGCCGGTGGGTGATTAGCCCACGATCTGATGTGAGAGGTTTGAGTGTGAGCATGCCTGTTGGGACCCGAAAGATGGTGAACCATGCCTGAGCTGGGCGGGGCCAGAGGAAACTCTGGTGGAGGCTCGCAGCGATACTAACGTGCAAATCGTTCGTCGGACTTGGGTATAGGGGTGAAAGACTAATCGAACTGTCTAGTAGCTCCCTCCGAAGTTTTCCTCAGGATAGCTGGAGTTGTTGAACAGTTTTATCGGGTAAAGCGAATGATTAAAGGCCTCGGGGGTGAAACACCCTCGACCTGCTCTCAAACTTTAAATAGGTAAGATTTCGGGGTTGCTTAAGGGAACCTCGAGAATCAATGAAAGCTCCAAGTGGGCCATTTTTGGTAAGCAGAACTGGCGATGCGGGATGAACCGAAAGTCGAGCTACGGTGCCAAACTGCGCGCTAACCCAGACACCACAAAGGGTGTTGATTGATACAGACAACAGGACGGTGGTAATGGAAGTTGAAATCTGCTAAGGAGTGTGAAAAACCTCACCTTCCGAATCAATCAGCCCCGAAAATGGATGGCGCTGAAGCGCACGACCTATGCTCGGCCATCGCATCGATTCTTACGCCACGACGAGTAGGAGGGCGCGGGGCCTGCTGCGAAGCCTGGACTGTGAGCCAAGGTGAAGCGGGTCCCGCTGCAGATCTTGGTGGTAGTAGCAAATATTCAAATGAGAACTTTGAAGACCGAAGTGGAGAAGGGTTCAATGTGAACAGCGCTTGGAATGGGTCATTCGGCCCTAAGAGATGTGGAAACCTTGTATCAAGGGCGCGTTGCGCGCCGCACATCAAAAGGGGGTCGGGTTAATATTCCCAAACTSGATTGTGGAGGTGGACGGTAACGTAAGCAGCGCCGGAGATGCCGACGGGGGCCGTGGGGAGGGTTCTCTTTCCTTCTTAAAGGCTCGCCCAACCTGGAATCGGATCAACCGGAGATAGGGTGCAGCGCTCGGCAAGGCACCGCACGTCCTGTGGTGTCCAGCGCGCCCCCGACGGCCCTTGAAAATCTAGAGCTGCGGGTACCTCTCACGCCCGGCCATACTCATAACCGCATCAGGTCTCCTAGGGGTCTGCGCCTCGATGTCGTTGGCTGCCGGTGGTCTGCCCGAGCTGCTCTCGCAGCGAGGGCGGAGCCCGCGTGCAAGTGTGCCGACGGGCGTAGAATGTCTTATGTCCCCACCTTTCGGGTGGGGCCGTGGGACTCTCCCTAAGCATCAAACTGCCGACTCAGAACTGGTGCGGACAAGGGGAATCCGACTGTTTAATTAAAACAAAG